ATGAAAGCCAAGGCCAGTGCAGCTCTTTCGGCCGGGCAGCACTGCATGGATGGAGGCGCGCAGGGCCCGCGGTGCCCAAGAAGCCCAAAGGCCCTAAGGCTTAAGGTTTAGGGTTTAGGGTGTCGGTCGCAGTATGCTTCTTAGCTTAAATCATGATGGATTGCTGCGCAGTAGAGAACATCATCTTGTAGTGTTTTTTTGCCATAGTATATGTACTCTCCTAAAGTTATGCTATAGTTTCAACATGTACTTTTACTACATCATAGCACATTAAAGTCCACCTGCACTGTGACATAGCCCACTACCCCTCGCCCAGCAGCACAAGTGGAGGAGCTGGCGGGCCATGCAACGTGCAGTACTTGCTCGAGGCCATCGTCTAAACTTGTTTTGGTTCAGGGGGGAGGGGGTTTAAGGGCTTAAGGCTTAAGGCTAAGAGGTTTCGTGGTTTAGGGTTTGGTGTATTGGTCTCGGTTGTTCGTCTTCACGGCCTGTGGAGTAGGAATGACGGAATAGGGCGTACTGGTTGTTATTCTGCACTCTCTTGTACGGTAAGAACCCTTGCGACTTGCGATTCACGATTCTTTCGTAGCAACCAACAGCTAGCGGGACCAGGTTTTGAGGGAGCTCTGGCCCACCATATCAACAAGTGTCGTTCTTTCCCCTACGCCGTATAAACCCTCAATGAGTAACGTGAACTAGCACTTGGGGCAAAGGAAGGCCTCCAACTAGGAGTGAAGCAGCCTAGGACGTCGATTTCTCCGCGGTCTCCACGTCGGGGAAGTTCCTGCAGTTTGGGGCGACTCGGTTTGGGGTCTAGAGGTGGTTTAGGCTTCTGGGTAGCAGTTGTCATGTGGTTCCAGCCAGTCGAATGCTTCTGTTCTCGTTCTGCAAAACGCATCAACACTTCAATCAATTGGAATTCGTAAAGCCCTGCAAAACCAAGCTTGCCTGCACTACTGTGTGCTGCAGTACATTAGAATGTCTTGTAGTATACTGTAGATTTGTTTTACAGCATACTAGGATCTTTGGCTTAGAATCCCTAAACCCATCCAAACCCTAAACGCCCTGAGCCCAGGTGCACAGCAAGCCTGAGGGGAAGGTGCTGCCAGTCTTTCTGGCCCGCGACGGCTCCCTCGGAGGGTTTCGCTCGCTGGTAAGCCACGCGGTGCTCGATTTGGGGGCAGTACAAGGTTCAGAATTTGGGGATGAAGGGTTTAAGGTTTTGGGTGTTTTGTGAAGTTCAGGGCTTAAGGCTTCGTGTCAGAGGTTTTAGGTATAAGGTTTAGGGCAGGCTTGATTTGAGAGGTTGTGTCCTCGACAGACTGGGATGTCTGGTTCAGGCTGGTGGGGTCTGCTATCGGTTTCGAGTCGTTCTTTCTTTACCTAGATCCTAGGAAATAGATGATTCAGGGACTCGGAAGAGGTCGAACTGATCTTCTGAAGGTTTCATGATGTTTCATGCCTTCCCCTGAGGCCCTCAAACTTCAACTATGCAAACAAACCTGAACCCTGAATCCTGAACCCTCAACCCCAAGCCCTAAACCTTCCTAGGCCAACATCTCGACGGCTTTGGAGATCAGGGCTGCGCGCCTGGCTTTGCAAAAGCAGAGACTAAGGCTTTCGGGGTGTAGGGCGACAAACATGGTTCTCTCTCTCTCTCTCTCTCTATATATATATATATATGACAGCCTGGCACAGTGTGCCATAGAATAGCCCAGTAGACTATACAGGCCCTGAACCCTAAACCCCACCCCTAGTCCTAAACCGTAAACCCCTCAACCCCCTCAACCCTCATAGAAGCGGACGAGGCCGTGACAGCCCAAAACCCCTGGAAGCGGACGAGACCGTGCCAACCCAAAACCCCTAGAGCGGACGCTCTTCCGCTTCCAGGGGTTTTGGGCTGTCACGGTCTCGTCCGCTCTAAGCCTCCAGGGGTTTGGGGCTGTCACGGTCTCGTCCGCTTCCAGGGTGTCACGGTCTCGTCCGCTTCCAGGGGTTTTGGGCCGTCACGGTCTCGTCCGCTTCCAGGCGTTTTGGGCCGTCACGGTCTCGTCCGCTTCCAGGGGTTTGGGTTGTCACGGTCTCGGCTGTCACGGTCTCGTCCGCTTCCAGGGGTTTTGGGCCGCACGCCCCCTAAAAGCCTATTTTGGGGCACAAGCATGCCGGATCTGCTTTGACTCCACATGAGCCGAGCTAGGGCTTGGGGCTTGGGGTTTAGGGCTTGGGGTTGATCAGCTGGGTATCCATCAACGTCTCCGCCCAGCTTCTTCCAACAGAGTAGCCCACAAAACCGGAAAGGAACTCATGTTTGGAGAGACTCCCGTCCCTTGACCCTGGACCCCAAACCATAAAACGCCTAGACCCTATTTCAACATAACAGACTCCCTAGATTCCCTAACCCAATACCCTAGATTCCCCAAACCCAAAAAATTCTAGATTGTCAGGTGAAGCTGGGTCCAGACTGGGACGATGGCTTCGGCTGCCACTTCCCCGTGCGCCGGCTCAGCCTTTGGACTGCTGCGGCTATGGCGGGTGACGTCCGGCTGCCCATCCTTAGATTTGGGGAGGGGGGCGGGGGGAGGGGGGGATTTAGGGTTTGGGGGTTTGGGGGTGTTTTGGATGTTGGGTTGATAGGGGGTTGAGTGGGGGTGTGTTGGATATAGGGTTTAGGGAGTTCTGAGCGGGTTTCAGCGAGTTTTTCGCCCTGGGCGTGCCCCTTCAGGTCGTCTTTAAGTATCGGAATGTGCAGGCCAAGCCCCCGCTTGCCCGGGGCTTGGCCTGCTTACTCTTGCCCACGGCACAGTCGTCTGTAAGTGGCGGAATGTACCAAATGCGTGCAGCGTGCGTGCCCGGGTCTTGGTCTGTTTCGGCGTTGGGACGTTTGGAAGTTGAAGTTTTTTGGCCAAAGCGTGCCGCTTCAGGTCTGCATGAATTGGAATGTGCCAGATGTGTGCCGCGTATGTGCCCGTGCCCGCCCTTTAGACCTTGCAAAAAGGTTCCAAAAGGTTGAAACTGGCGTCCAAAAAATCATTTATTTCAATAGTATTTATAAAGGGGGGTTTCGTTCGCATAATAGTATAGTTCACGCGCTCACTCATAACTTCGTTCACTTGTAACTCTATGATTAGTGCTCTCTTCACGATATAGAGGGCCCAATAAGAGAATACAAGGGCCCTCATACTATTAATGTAGCGCCCAAGAAGAAGAGAATAATAGGGCGCATTTTTCTGGGTGATTCATCGACAGACGTACAATGTCCATTATACTGTCTTCTTGAGGGTTTTGTGTTTATGGGTGTGTCGGATTTAGGGTTTAGGGTCTATGGGTTCAGGGATTTGGGTTTTGGTGTGATGTTTTGGGTTTTGGAACATTGGTGCTTAGGGATAGGATTTTATTTTGTTTAGGGGTCCAGAGCGAACGACGGAGGGCTTTCGAGCTTACGTTGGGTGCAAAAACTTATCATTTTGTTGAGCAAAGGGGTGCGAACTTCACGAGCACAGTTTGAACGGATTTATTTCCAACACAGAGGGTTCACGCGCACAAGGTGTGGCGGAGCTAATGCGGAGCTAGCCGTAGATCTCAGCGTAGCAGCAATTGTTCTGGCGTCAGCAGTCGTATGGAATGCCTCAATTCACTTCGGGCACCGTGACAATTTCTACTGCCTTTCGCAGTTAAACAGTGACACAAGCACCCAGTTGTGGCGCTGGATTCTGCTCCTGTATTGGTTTATGGCATCTAAAGCATACAAAAGCTATACTCCGAAACCCCTAAATCCGACAGCCCTTCTTCCCCTAAACCCCTGAGTTGAGGCTGTCTGGCCCTGGCTTCACGGGGGTTCCCAACAATCAGTTCCCCAGCTTCGGCGGCAACGCGGGCTTCCTGTCCTACGCGACCAATTACAATGGCTACGGTGCCTGCCCAGTAGTGGTAGCAGTGGCAGCAGTAGCAGCAGTAGCAGCAGCACAGGTAGCCGAGGCAATCACCACAGTTATAGGAAAAGTGCACACAGCTGGAAGTGCACGAAGCCTTGCAAATCAAGCACTCTAAAGCCCCGCCCTAAACCCTGAACCCCGAAACCCTAAAGTGGCCCTAGACATAAGCAGGTGCCTTGGCCATCCCTGGCCAAGTCTACGACTTGGCCGCAGAGTGGCGGGAAGGCCCGGTGGTGGATGCGGAGCCCCGGCTTTGGGTGTAGCCGGGTTTAGGCGTTTCAGGGGCGTAGGTGTTTTCGGGGTTCAGGGGTTTAGGGCCATTGAGGGCCTAGGGGGTGAGGGGTTTAGGGTGTACTGGTTTAGGGGTTTATGGTTTGTTGCGGAGACCGTAAAGCCCTTAGGTTTTTGGGTTTTGCTGTCCAGGAAGTTTAGAGCGAAATTCAGGATTTTTCCGACAGTGCCTTGCCGGGCTACTTCGGGGAGGACGCGGACGAGGAGGCTCGGGCAACAAAGGAAACGTATAACTTTCAGGTGACTTTGACCCTGAACCTGAAGCCATCCTTGAGATGTACAGGTTGGCGCGTTGGCGCTTTTCTGAGTAGGCGCATCTGCCTTGAAGGTTCAGCTTCTTCTATTCTGGGTGTTTGCAGCCAACAATCCGAAGAAAAGAGTACTGAGTAATGGCTATCCCCTCATGAGCCCCTTGAGAAGCTTTCCTGCGAAGTTCAGCGACAAAGCCTTAATGCAGGTGACCCTGAAGACGTCCTTGGGCACATGCACCCTTCGCTCGTCGAAGGCTCGTCGCCCTAAAAGGGAAGTAGTCGGAAGTAGGTGCCTCAGACCTCGCAGACTCTCAGGATCCTCAAGGGCTGCAAGCCCAACCATGAAGTGCCATGAAGGCACTACTTCCGCAGGGCCACCGTGAACCCCCTCAGAAAGAATTCTTGCAACCCATTTCGGGCCTAAGGTGAACCGTAAGCCCTAAACTGTGAACTTAGCTTCGTAGACCCGACTACCCATCCGAAAACCCCAGGAGCTTCTTCGTACGTCATTGCTAGTATACTGTGATTAAGTGCTAGTACCTACTAGTGCTAACATTTCCGTATAACACGAAAGGGCAGGCCCCCTCATGCCCCCCAAGCCCTAAAGCTTTTTAACAAATCCACGGAAAGGGGTCTCCAGCCGTGAGCGCTTCGCGAAGGCGCACCCGCCCTTCACTGGACGCCTGGGTCCAGTGCCTGGTGCTCCGCAGAGCCTGGACCTAGACAAGCTGACTTTTACAAGATTTCGGATTTCGTATAGTATAGTTTAGTATAGTATCGTATAGTATATATCTATATATATATATATATATCATCGAATAGTGTATAGTGGTAGTACATAGTATGGTTTAGCATAGTTAAGAATTGTTTGTGTATACAAGAGTACAGTGCATAGACGTATATTGCGCCATTGTCGTCAGTACATACTAGTCTGGATAACCGGTAGCATGCGCTGCAGAGGCTGTGAGACCCCGGACCCAGATATAAGAGTGAGGGAACACGCCAATTTTTGGCGGCACTGGCGCAGCACTGTATGGCTCCTGCCTTTTGGCACGTTGGGTGGAGGCTCACCGTGCAAAGCGCTCTCGTCAGCACCCCTCTACGCGATATGGAGCCGAGAAACAAAACTGCGGGAATGTACAGCTGGACTTGTTTTCATGAAGAAAAATGGCAGCATGGGTCCATTTGCATATGCTCCACTAGGCTGACGACTCGGCTAGAGTAGAATACTGTAAGTTATGGTATGGTGTTTGCATGTCATAGTTCCCCTCCGGCCTATATAGTGTTCCTTAGAGCCCTTAAACCCTAAACCCGAAGCCCTTCTAGAACAAGGAGCGACTGTGGCGCCAAGCTCTTCAATCCCCCTCTCGTGGAAGGCCGCAATGCGATGCTTGGGGCTCAGGGATTCTTGTGGTGATATGCCATGCGGCAATATGCGCTGCAGTGTGAAGTAGTAGTAGAAGTAGTAGTAGTAGTAGTAGTAGTAGTAGTAGTAGGAGGAGTAGGAGTAGGAGTAGGAGTAGCAGTAAGTAGTAGTAGTAGTAGTAGTAGTAGTAGTAGTAGTAGTAGTAGTAGTCGTAGTAGTAGTAGTAGGAGTAGTAGTACTAGTAGGAGTAGTAGGAGTAGGAGTAGCAGCAGTAGTAGGAGTAGTAGTAGTAGCAGTAGTAGTAGTAGTAGTAGTAGTAGTACTAGTGGGGGTAGGAGTGTAGGAGTAGGAGTAGGAGTAGCGGTAGGAGTAGGAGTTGTAGTAGTAGGAGTTGTAGTAGTAGTAGTAGTAGTAGTAGTAGGAGTTGTAGTAGTAGTAGTAGTAGTAGTAGTAGTAGTAGTAGTCGTCGTAGTAGTAGGAGTAGGAGTAGGAGTAGGAGTAGTAGTAGTAGTAGTAGTAGTAGTAGTAGTAGTAGGAGTAGTAGTAGTAGTAGTAGTCGTCGTCGTCGTCGTCGTCGTAGTAGGAGTAGGAGTAGGAGTAGGAGTAGGAGTAGGAGTAGGAGTAGGAGTAGGAGTAGGAGTAGGAGTAGGAGTAGGAGTAGTAGTAGTAGTAGTAGTAGTAGTAGTAGTAGTAGTAGTAGTGGTAGTGGTAGTGGTAGTGGTAGTGGTAGTGGTAGTAGTAGTTGTATGTAACCAAACCTACATAGCATACTGTAGAGTGTATAGTATTATTCAGGCCTGGAGCCTGCGAGTGGCCGGGGTTGGGGGGGGGGGGGGGGGGGGGGGGGCGCCTGCTGCATCATCCCTGGTGACCCTGTGCTCTCAGGAAGGTAGCGACCAGGCAACGATAGTGCGTTATTGTGCCGTTGCTTGTCACTTTAAGGCATTCTACAGCAGCCGGTGACCTGTGAACGCTGAACCCGGCTCAGCTCTAAAACGTATTGTTGCTACGAGTACTAGTAGTACGACTACTCCTACCCTATTCCATGTTCCTGTTGACCCGGAAGGCCGCGATGTGAGTGTCGCCCTGAACCAGCCCGCGGCTGCCTCTTCGACCGAAGGGGGTAACCCCGGCCTCAGCCCGAGCCGGGCTGCCGCGTGGATCCATTTAGGTGTCCCTATAAAGTCTAATGTTGATGCTGCTTCTTTTGGGGACCCTCAGAGAACAACCCTTTTGCTTAGAATGCCGCACCCCTGAAATCTCATACTATACTGTTTGCACAGTATATTTAGTATAGGACTGTGTGGTATGATCTGGTATGAATATGGTATAACCTCTATAGAGCAGCAGTGAACTCCAAAAAATAAGCTCACACCCTCAGGCCGAGCTCAGTGAAAACCCGCTCTAGTGTTTTTGAAACCCTAAACCCCTAATCCCCGAAACCCCCAAGCCGGAAACTCCCCTTTAAAATCTCTAGAGACTGAGGTTGATGGCTCGGCAGAGACAAGGCCAGGGCTTGAGGGTTAGGGTAGTTAGGGTTTGTATGATTTAGGGGCTTCCTTGTTTCCTGATACCCTCCCAAACAACCGAAGAGGACCCTGATGGGACCCAGGAGCCCGAATGCATTTTCGCGTCCATGCGCGCGCAATCCAAGCGCGACCCACGAATGCCAGCTTTAAATTTCATTGCTACAGACACGCGACGCGACACGGAGCACAAACGCCAGCTAAACAAGAGCACGCGCGTGCGAGATGACATCGACAAACGCGCGCGCCACCCACGAACGCGAGCTAGATACGGCCAGAACGCACGAAAGGGCACCAACAAACTGCTCTCGCGTGACCCACACACGAAAGCTCGGGCACACAAGCACGACGCGACACCGACAATTGTGCATGCGACCCACGAACACGAGCTCAATCCGGGCGAAGACGCGCGACACCATGCCGAAAAATTCGCGCGCGACCCACAAACGCGAACTGAATACACGCACGAACGTGCGGCATCACGACGAGAAATACGCGCGCGCGCGCGACCCACTATCCTGCGGACGCTTGCCAGCGCTCGCGGATACTGCGCACGGACTTTGCGCCGCCTCCCTAAGTCCTAAACCCTAAACCCTTTGAACGGCTGTGCTATGTACTGAAAAGAAGCCATGCTAGACCCTGTAAGGCCCCAGAGCCTCGTACTATCTCGTACTTATTTTGTGGGACCCCACCAAGCAGGGCCTAAACCCTAAAAATCCCGAAGGCCCTGAGACCCATCTAAAGCCCCGAGCTTTTGAACTTCCAGATGGAGCTCCAGCTTCGCAGATGGCGAGTGGCTTGCTATCGACCTGGGAGTTGTTGCTTGGATCCGTGTTCGGGTGCTGAAAGGTTATAGGACGATTGGACGATTGGAGGGTCTGTAGTACTTAGGGTCAAAATGGAAAACGACAGTTGTAACTAGAGAGGCAGTGAGATTCCTTTGTTTGGTGGTTGATGATTCTGCCAGTTCAAAGCTGCGATGCGAAGCAATGTAGGGTTCATTGGTTCTCCCAGGTTTACGAGCTCTTCGCAGTAGCCGTCGACTGGGAGGCTGCCTACGCGACTTGGGCATTGACGACTCTGCCTTTTTCTTCTCGTAGGCAGTATAAAGTGCAGTGGTATAACAAGCAGGAATACTTAATAGTGGTGCAACATAGTCCTAATTTGCGCCTTTCTCCGGGAGGCTGGGCAAAACACAGTGGAGGGTTGGCTGTGCTACATGGTATTCTGCCACGAAGTATGAAGAAAACGTGGCTTTATTCTACAGTACTGGTACCATATGGACAAGTTTTCCTATTTGCTATTCGAGATGTCGCACCTTCCCTAAGCTTAAAGTTTAAACCCGACACCAGGCAAGCACCTACCTGGTGCAGCTGCGATCGGACGAGGCAAGCGCCTGGCACACGGCCGCGGAAGTTGTCAATGGCCGCGAAGGGCAAGCGGGGGCCCTGGAGAGGCTCAGGGTTTCAGGGTTTCAGCGTTTCAGGGTTTCAGGGTTCTCAGCGTGGAGGGTCTTCGAGATGATTGTACGGAGGCTCGCAGCCACTAAGCTGGAAAGTCATGGCTTTGGGGTTAATCACCTTGGAAGCCCCCAACCCAAACCCCTAGGCCCTACACCCTACTACAGTATACTCTCATACACTACATTCAAGTATACTATGATATACTTGCGAGAGTGTACCATAGCTCCAAGGTGCAAACCGTCTTCCCAGAGCATTTGGCGCGCTACGTCCGAATCTTCTGCCAGACGCCTGCCTTGGTTAGTTGCAGTGCAGGTTTAGGATGGTTTAGGATGGTTTAGGATGGTTTAGGATGGTCTAGGGTTTAGGGTATGGTTTTCTGGCCATCAAAAGCCGACTACATCCCCAGACACCCAAACCCTTCAAAACAGGAAAAGGGCTACGCCGTGGGGCTGCAGCATCAGGGAGCTGCAGGCATGGCTTTGGGCAGGGCTTCGACTTAAGTCTTGTCAATCGTGTTCTCTGCTTCGCCTTCCAAGGTGTTGGCTTTGGTGGCTTTGATGGGGGGGGGGGGTTAGGACTCGCCCTCGCCTTGAGCTCTCAGCGTGTACACTGTAGAGCGCCTGTTTAAGGGAACCATATGTAGGGTCTGAGGCTTCTTAAGCTTTGATTTAACACATACTGCGCAATAGCATACAATGCTGAAGATCCCATTGCAAGCGCATGGGAGCTTGTCAAGCAGGGTCCGGAAAAAGGGCGCAGCGCTCGCAAGGGTTTAGGGCGATAACAGAGCCTCAAGTCTAAAATCTAAGTCTGAAGGGTTTGGTAAAAACAGGTGGTCGCTTCCCTAAACGTCCCGTAGCCATCAAGGACATTTCCCTAAGCATCGAAAATTCGACAAAACGACTCAGGAGCAGTCAGCCTTGGACCTAAACGCCTGGACCGCAATGTTCTAAACACCCATGTTGGCGGAACGGCTCGTAAGGAATGATGTTGGAGCCCGAAGACGATGTTCCCCACCTGAATCCTAAGTCCTATAACCCTCAACCCTGAACCCCCCTAATCATCAGTCCCTATACCGCCTATACCCTGAACCCACAAGAAGGTCTTCCCCACCTACCTTGGGCTCTTCGAGCCCGTGGATGGCGGTACGGATCGGGCCTGCCGTGGAGCCCTGGCCATTCTGGAGCTTTTCTGGGGGCCAAACGTGGGGTTTAGGGTTCGGGTGCTTGGGGGTTTAGGGAAGCTCTGGGGTTTGTGGACCGGGTGTGCATAATCTGATTTATATTAACATGAGAAATAGTGTCCGATAGTATGGTAAACGTTGTTGCAGTATAGTGTGTAGTATACAGCTGTGCCCTTCTTCTGCAGCCTATAGCCTGTAGAATGCTGCACAAGATGGATTGGTGCATTGGTGAAGCCTCCTTGGGTGGTTGCAGTCCGTGCTCTCAGAAAACTGTTATAAACTTCATGGCTGGCAGCAGAGCATATCTGAGGAGAGTCCGCCTCGGACAACTCTCCCAGGCACTACACCGTTGTCGAGCAGGAGACTTTGAAAGCATGCAAGAAGGCGTGCACCCAGGAAGTCCTTGCATGATTTCCACGGAGCGCAGCAGCAGTGGCAACAAGGGGGCCAGGTTCTTGTGGCTGCATACTAGACTGTGCTTTCAGCAAATATGCGATGCATATACCGTAGAGTATAGCCCACTGAACTGAAACAAGGCCGCTTGGGATCTGAGCAAGTGACACGCTCTCTGCCAGAATCTGAAGCCCCGGAGGCCTGTGAGCAGACCGCTAGCTGCGTCGGGATAGAGTACAGTGGCACTCGCTGTGAGCTCTGGACGCGCCGGGATCGAATCGGTGCGTCCATCCCGCTGAGCGGCTTCACATGCCTCCACTTCCTGTGGCTTTGGATGATCTTCAGCAGTTTTCCAAGGGGCTAGATTGGTTTGTCAAGACACCAACTGCCGTGCCAAGGAACAGACAATGCTCCAGAAACCAGGCGCAAGCCAGAAACCGCCAGAAACCAAGATACCCACTCGAAACAACCAAGCGCGATCATTCAGCAGCACATGTTTTGAAACCAACCTGCGGTTCAGGTTCTTGCAACCCGCCTTGGCACTGCCGTACCTCCTTCAGAAACCACATTCACATTGAAACTAAGAAAAGGCACCCTCCAACCCTCCCAGACTGGCAGAAAGCTAAAATAGGATTTGTAGAATCAAGGGATAATCATGTTAAGATGAAAGCCGAGAGTCTGAACCCCGACCATGAGTCGAGTACAGTATTCCACGCATAATTCTGCGATGTACAGCACATGTATATATATATATATATATATAGACGTGTACAAGGATACCGCAGTACGGCGTATTCGACATATTCAGGCACATGCTACGCAAAGCCTCCCAAAAGCCCTAAACTCCAAACCCCCAGTATACTCCCTAGAAATTTAAACCCCCAAACGCTAGACTCTAGACCCTAAACTGCCCTAAACCCTAAGGCGGCCGAGCTCCGAGTGCCAAGTCCTCTTCGAGGCCGTGGATGGCGCCGAGGGCCGAGCCTGCCACTTGGGGCGCGACGGTGTTTTTGATTAGGGTTTAGGGTTTGCTGTAGGGTTTAGGGTTTAGAGGGTTTAGGGTTTAGGGCTTGGAGGGCGTTGGGATTCAGGGCTTAGGTTTAGAACTGTAGGTTTGGGGCGTAGGAGTTGAGGGCGTTTGGGTTCGGGCCTCACGAACGTTTATTGGCTGCTACTACTGCTGCTGCTACTGCTACTGCTACTTGCTACTCCTACTGCTACTGCTACTACTACTACGACGACGACTACTACACTACTACTACTACGACGACTACTACGACGACTACTACTACTACTACTACTGCTACTACTACTGCTACTACTACTACTACTACTACTACTACTACTACTACTACTACTACTATTACTACTACTACTACTACTACTACTACTACTACTACTACTACTACTACTACTACTACTCCTGCTACTGCTACTGCTACTGCTACTGCTACTGCTACTGCTACTGCTGACAGATCATCGACGAAGGACCAAACTACTTGGGGGTCATGGATTTGTGTGGTGTGTTTAGGATTCAGGACTCGAGGTTTTCTTGTTCCACATCCTTGTGCAGAATGTTGTACAAACAAGCGACAACGCAGCAAATACGAGTGTTTGGGCATAAAAAGCTGTAAATACCAGTGTTTTGGGCATGGTCGCGAAAAGCATGGACGCTAGTGACAGATTTTCCTGTTCCACATCCTTGTGCAGTATGTTGTACAAAGAGGCGAAAATGCTGTAAATACCAGTGTTTTGGGCATAAACCGCTGTAAATACCAATGTTTTGGGAATGGTCACGAAAGGCATGGACGCTTGTGATAGATTTTTTTGTTCCACATCCTTGTGCAGTATGTTGTAAACGAGGCGAAAACGCTGCAAATACCAGCCGTTTGTGCATGGACGCAATAAGAATGACGTCCTTGTCCCCTCCCCCCCCCCTCTCCCCGCCCCCCCCCCCCCCCCCCCCCCCACCCCCCCCTCTCCCCGCCCCTCCCCCCCCCCCCCCCGAAACGAAACACGAAATCTAGCAAAAACACCCAGCCCTCCTACCAACGCGCGGGGTACTACTACGACGACGACCACTACTACCACTACGGCCACCACTGCCTCGACAACCACTACAACCATTACCAACACTACAACCACTACTCGCCACCTACTACTGCCGACGACAAGTACTGCGACCAATACCCAAGAAAAGGAGAAGGCGGTTTTGGGCTTAGGAGATAGAGTGTGCAATAAAGTCGCACCGCTCGCAACATGGTACTGCTACATGAACTATTGAAACTCTCTTCACAATACATTACAGTAAGATGGCACATCGTAATCTAGTTTGGAGAAATACAGAATGTATAAAGCAGTTCTCGCACCTCAACCCTACACCTTGAAAGCCTTCAAACCCTTAACACTAAGAACCCTAAATCCTAAAACCCTACACCCCATAGACCCTACATCCTCCCAGCAACGCGACAACCCAAGGCCGGGGCAGCGGGCCGGGTGACAACTCGCCCTTGGATGCCTACGTCATTTTTTGTTTTTGTGTTTGTTGTGTGTGTGTGTGTGTGTTTATACTTGGGATTGCGGGTGGAGGTTGTTTGCGGGGCCATAAGGGTTTTTGCGTCTTGGGGTGTTCTGCGGGCTTTAAGACTGTGCGGATTGAGGGTTAGGACTTATAGGGTTTATTGAGTTTAGGGTTGCCACTGCTTCCCATCTGTGACAATCGAGCCCAACTTGGTGGCAACAAATCGTACTTCTTCTCTTCTGTGACGAGCAAAAATGGGTGGCAACAAATCGTACTTCTTCCCTTCTGTGACAATCGAGCACACATTGGTGGCAACAAATCGTACTTCTTCCCTTCTGTGACAATCGAGCACAAATTGGTGGCAACAAATCGTACTTCTTCCCTTCTGTGATAATGCGAGCACAAATTGGTGGCCACAAATCGTACTTCTTCCCTTCTGTGACAATCGAGCACAAATAAATTGGTGGCAACAAATGGTACTTCTTGCCTTCTGGGGTTGCCTGTATTCGGCCGAAGCACTCATATCGGTAATTACATGACAGAGGCCAAAAGACTCAACCTGCAACCCTGCTGGATATAGCGACTTTGATTTCAGTCAGATCCCAACAGTCTTCGTCGTATCCTGCGGAGCATAAAAGTTTAGTACACCTGCATAATCTGGTTTACTGCCAAGGTTTACCTACTACTATGTCCGAGATGCCGAGTCAGTCGAGCTGCGGCTGTTTTTTCGAGAATTCTGCGTTTGCCTTATTGGTGGCCCCGAGCTACAAGGGCCTGAGGTTTAGGGTTCAGGACCACGTGTTCAGGGTTTACGGTTCAGGGACTTGTTTGGGTGTCTTCTTTGAAAGGAGCTCAAGTCTCACATGACGTTCCTCAGTTGTCCCAAACTGACCCTATTCCTGAAAGCTTACTGAGTCCTTGCAGTACACGTCTATGGCACCCAAACCCCCAAACCCCAAAAAAAGGCCTTTTAAGCTCTCTGAACCAAGGAGAGCTGCCAGGCCTTCTGCATAGGAGACGCCAACTGCGTGGGCATCGAGTACAGCACCTCCAGGTGCGAGGCGAGGCTGCAGCTCTTTTTTGGGGGCCTCATTTTCACATTATTTGTTTATCTTTTTTCTTTGGGGGGGGGGAGGGTTTAGGATTTAGGGGTTTCGGTGTCCAGAGCCAGCTTGACTGAATCGCAGGCCGAGTGATTCTGGTTTCTACAGCAAGCACTGCGACACTTGTTGTAGTATGTACTGTACTGTATACAATTATTGTAGTATCTACCCTAGGATCTCTTCTACGAGAGATATCAATATACCTGTGTACGGTCCAGTTGCAACTCCATGCCACTTTTTACATGCCTATTGCTGACCCTTATTTCCGAAGCCCAAAATCCCTCAAACACTCTAAAAGCCTACACCCCCTAAACCCTGAAACCTAATCGGACCTAAACCCTAGACCCTAGTTGAACCCGAAACCCTAAACCCTCAACCCGGAAGCCTAAACCCTAAACCCAAGAAAGAAGGTCTGGATTCGCCCGGAGGGGGTCCAGGCCAGCATTCAACTCGCTGGATTTCGCTGCCAGCGACTCCTCCGTTCCTTGGGCGGGTGTGTTTTGGGGTGTTTACTGTGTTTGTGGGGGCTGTTGTTGCTTTTTGTTTGGTTTTGTGTGTGTGTGTGGGCGGGCGCGCCCTCAACCCTCAACCCTCATCCCTCAACCCCAAATCCCTAAACACCCGAGGCTGGGGCACCGGCTGCTCGAGCTCCGGTCCAAGCGCCGAGCCCCTCCGAGGCGATCGCCTGGGCCCAGGCCAGAGCTTCTCAGTCTCGCCGTTAGCAGGGTCATTGTTGAAGGAGTTGTGAAGAGCCTTTGGGATGCCGGCGACGCTTTCATCCCTAGAAGCGGCTTCTAAACCTGGTCATCTCTACGTTCTGCCCCACGGTGAGGCAACTTCTTCGTGGCGCTTCCAAGCCGCACAACTCTGTTCCTGACTTCCCTGGCACTGTCCCTGGCGCTCATAGCTACCTGCACTGCAAGGTGTCTCCAAAGTCGGGGGGTGTTCCAAGAATGCAGAAGCCCTAAAGCCACAGGTTGAGAAACAAGGAGCCCGGGGGTCCCAGCCACAGTCCTGCGACCCACATTCTAGACTCTTCTTAGTCTTATCACCTATCGCCTGAAACATGAAATCCTCCAAGCCTTGAGCGCTCAGAAAACTTGAGAGAATCAGGCTCTGATGGTGGCTTACTGCTTGAAGAACAGAGCCTGGCCGCGAGATGCGCGAACCCCGAAGTCTCCCAAGTCGGATGTCGAGAAGCAGCAGTTCCTCACTTAATCGTCTTCGGCTTCAACACAGATCTGAGCATCAGATATGGGTCACATAAACATAAAGTTTGCGGAACAGTTAGGATTCAAGGTTTCGGGTTATGGTGTAGTGTGCAAGCTGCTTGCAGGCCGCTCTCTTGTATAGCCAGGAGCCAAAACCAGGCACCTGTACTTTTTGTCTCCTACACATCTTGCGTCTGCGAGTTGCCACGCCGTGGCGTTTAATGTGTACAGAGAACCCGCGAGACTGGTCACCTGAATCTTTGTAGTCCGTGCACAGTACACGGTCCTGGCTTGCCATGGGGAGATGTCTAGGATTGCTAATGTGGCCAGCATCTTTATTCACAAGGTCTTGGACCAATTTGTTGGTATCTGCAAGAGTAGATTTAGAGCATCGGTGGACATGTTTAGGTTTGTGTCGGCTATACGTACCCTAAAGTATATACATAGGGTCACCCAAATCCTGGAATCTGGAAAACCTGTGGCGAGGGCAGTCGGCCGTTTTGCTGGAAGGCTGGGAAGTCACAACGACTCTGCAGACTTCAGTCAAGCTATAGACAGCGGATCTACGAAGATGTCCCCCCAGAGCCCTCGAGTAGCAGTTGTAGTTGTTTTCTGTAAGAGGAGGAGTAGGAGCAGGAAGAGGGGTAGGAATAGGAGTAGGAGTAGGAGTCGGAGTAGTAGTAGTAGTAGTAGTAGTAGTAGTAGTAGTAGTAGTAGTAGTAGTAGTAGTAGCAGTAGTAGTACTAGTAGTACTAGTAGTACTAGTAGCAGTAGCAGTAGCAGTAGCAGTAGTAGTAGTAGTCGTCGTCGTCGTCGTCGTCGTCGTCGTCGTCGTCGTCGTCGTGGTAGTGGTAGTAGGTAGTGGTAGAAGAAGAAGACCTTAAACCCGAAACCTCAACCTAGACCCTCAACCCCACACCCCAAATAGAGGATCTTGTTGGACCCGCGCAATGCACCCTCTTCGCTTTTGATGCCTGAGGCTTGACCTAGCCAATGGCAGCTTTTCCAAAGGGCCCCCAGATTTCTCCCATAGGGTTTAGGGCTTGGGGTTTAGGGTTTAGTAATACGGCACGCTGAAGTTTAGGGTTGTTAGCGGTCACCCAGTGTTCTGGGGATTGTTGTCTGCGTTTGCCCAAACTTCTGAGCATGAGGTGCTTTCTCCGGGAGAGGTTCTTCCAGGTTTCCGGTTTAGGGCCATCGCGATGCTTGCAATTCTTCCACTCAAGTGCTTCTGGTTGTTGTTATCACGACCACTGTTGTTCTCTTCTTATCCACCAACATAATTAACTGCCACGCCCTTATGAAATCGTGGTACCCCTAAATTAAAACGTTGGACACTTCTACTGAGACTGGGGTTTCCTGCGTTGGGAAGGGCAGGCACGCGAAGCGTGGTTGCCGCCCTGGGAAGAGTCACGCGATGATCCATGCGCAGACCGCCAGAGAGGATCGCACCCAGAGCCCGTAAAGATGCGACCATACCATGCCGTGCGATACTATATACTCTACGACTACGACATTACAGGTTGCGAATTAGGCCAGACTGTAGGTAATCTTCCAACCTGCTGTTGGTAGCACTGTCCTTGGTAGCACAGGGTGCTGATGCGATGACGGCCCTTTGAAATCAGGTACCGTATTTAGGGTTTGAATTAATTTTCTCATACAGCTCAGAGGCTTTGATTGCAGACAGCATGAATGCAGAAGTCTTGCAGAAGGTCCGTCGGCAGCACTGCGCTGCGGGGCTGTCCCTTGTTTCCTGAGGGATTTGACCGGGAAGCTTTTTTATGTAGGGGAACCTCCGCCTCAACAGTTGGGGATCGGAACTGGAAATGGCACTTGAGCACTAGTCCTGCATTGTGGCTTGCTACTCACTCATTGCTGTACCTCGTACCTCCGCACTCACGGCATGTCTTGCATGTGTCCTGGACAGTTCACTTGTGTTTACTGCCCCGTGAGGCTTGGCAAAGCTGTTTCAGACCCCTGTCTACCTCCATGATCCTTTCTTCTATGAAGTGCAGGAATGGCTTGTTTCGGAGCTTTGAGCTTTTTTTCTGCGAATTCCCAGCAGCGTTGTCCAAAAGATTGTGAGGTTCCACCGCCCTTTTGGGGAGGCTTTTTACCACAAAAAGGGTAAGCATTTCAATTTATCCCAAAAACCTGTGCTGGCAACGTAATCGTGGCTCCAGAAGGGTTGTGAATATGCCCCCGCGACCCAATAGCTTGCGCCAGCGACCAAGTAGCTCGAACCCTCTGACGGCCAAAAACCTGTGCTGGCAACGCAATCGTGGCTCCAGAAGGGCTGTGAATATGGCCCCGCGACCCAATAGCTTGCGCCAGCGACCAAGTAGCTCGAACCCTGTAATCGTGGCTCCAGAAGGGTTGTGAATATGCCCCCGCGACCAAATCGCTTGCGCAGCGACCAAGTATCTCGAACCCTCTGACGCCCAAAAACCTGTGCTGGCAGCGCGGTCGTGGCTGCAGGGTTGTGAATATGCCCCTGCGACCCAATAGCTTGCGCCAGCGACCAAGTAGCTCGAACTGGCAACGTAATCGTGGCTCCAGCAGGGTTGTGAATATGCCCCCGCGACCCAATAGCTTGCGCCCACGACCGACCAAGCAGCTCGAACTCTTTGACGCCCAAAAACCTGTGTGAATATGCCCCCGCGACCGAATAGCTTGAGCGACCAATGCCAAGTAGCTCGAACCCTCTGACGCCCAAAAGCCTATGCTGGGAACGCAATCGTCATTTAGTAGGCAGCGACACACATGGCATTCACACATGCCTCCGCGAAAAATCCGTGCCGGGATTACGACAGTAGTCTTTTTTCGCGAAAGTGCTTACGTTGCCCAGGTCTTGTTCTAGATTGCTAGTAGCTTCCAGGCTTTCAGTTTCCTGCTAGACTGCCGGGATGGCTCCGAAGTACTCGCAGAGCCAAGGGGTGCAGAGTTTGCAGCCTCAAGATCCAGAAGCAGTTCTCAGGGATGGATATTTGGCGAACGTTCCGCGTAAACCCCGCGTAAGTCGAGGTAGCCTTTCCAAGGACGGCACTCATTTGAGGTGCGTGTTGGCTGTTATTGGGATTCATATCTCTGAAGTGAAACCAATCCGTTGAGGAAGGAGCTGCAGGCCCGGTGTGGTTCTGGACTTGAACCCTTATGTCCAACATTAAGCCTGGAACCCTGGACCCTAAACCCTAAACCCCAACCCTTAACGTTCTAATTTGGTTTGTTGAAGCTTAGGGATCTACACCTTATCTGGGCGAACAGCATAAACCTGCACCGCGATGTGTCCGCGAAAGTTTTGCGAAAGTAATTTGTTTTTCGCGACGACGGACCTTTCGGGATGAAAGAGTTTTAAATGATCACAGCCCAATATGCCCCCGCGACCAGATAGCTTGCGCCAACGACTAAGTAGCTCGAACCCTCTGACGCCCAAGAAACCGGTGCTGGCAACTTAATCCTGGCTCCAGAAGGGTTGCGAATATGCCCCCGCAACCAAATAGCGCCAGCGACCAGGTAGCTCGAACCCTCTGACGGCCAAAAACCTGTGCCTGGTAACGTAATCGTGGCTCCCGAAGGGTTGTGAATATGCCCACGACCAAATAGCGCCAGCGACCAGGTAGCTCGAACCCTCTGACGGCCAAACACCTGTGCTGGCAACGCCATCGTGGCTCCAGAAGGGTTGTGAATATGCCCCCCCGACCAAATAGCTTGCGCTAGCAACCCAGTAGCTCGAACCCTCTGACGCCCAAGAACCTGTGCTGGTAAAGTAATCGTGGCTCCAGAAGGGTTGTGAATATGGGGCATATTCACAACCTTTCTGGAGCCACGATTACGTTTTCAGTACAGGTTTTTGGTTGTCAGAGCGTTCGAGCAGTTCGAGCTACTTGGTCGCTGGCCCAAGCTATTTGGTCGCGGGATTACGTTACCAGCACAAGTTTTTGGGCGTCAGAGGGTTTCTTGGCGATGTTTATGGGTTGGTTGGTTGGTGGGGTTTTGTCTTGGATCCTCAAACTGGGGCATAGATGGTTGGTGGCTGGGTTGTCTTAGTCATGATCATGATGGGACCGCGCATTGGCAGGGATAGTTGGCGGTATGGGCTGGAGAGGCAAGGGTGACCAGTGGGCATGGCGACAGAAAAAACTTGTAGACATTCACTTCTTTCATTCGACCCAAAGCTGTCTCATGGAATCCAAAACTGTCGGCTCTTTTCGGAAAAACGAACATAACAAAACACACAATCAAGCAGAAATGACCGGACCGGGCAGGAAAAGCTGAAAAGCTTTCGTTCGCCATAGTTGCTTTGAAACTGGGCTTGAGTTTCCCCTCTAAACCCTAAACCCTAAACCCTAGACCCTAGACCCTAGACCCTAGACCCTAAACCCTAAACCCTAAACCCTAAACCCTAAACCCTAAACCCTAAACCCTAAACCCTAAACCCTAAACCCTAAACCCTAGACCAGACCAACTTGTACCCAGAAGTCGCCCTGCGACGCGGATTCGCCCCAGCTGTGCAGGAGGGAAAAAAACCCTACACCCTAAACCCTAAACCCTAAGCCCTAAGCCCTAAACCCTAAGCCCTAAGCCCTAAACCCTAAACCCTGAATTTAAACCCAAAAGACTTTCATGTACGTATGTATGTATGTATGATGTACGAGGAACCTTCCTGTATTATGTGACCATGCGTCTTTTCTGAAC